ATGATTCTTAGGGGAATTGAATGGGCCAAAGAACAATGTCCTGGAACAAAGCTCCCTGGGCTCTGGGTGTATCGTGTGGTTTTCAGCCTCTTCCTCTCCGACAGGAGTTTAATGTTCCTGGTTTTATAACATTTCAGCAAGGAGACTTGAAGGCAATTGGGTTCCTGTTTGGCAGACTGGTCTTTTGGAAGGTGGGGACATAGGGAACACCCTTGCCTGCATTTGCTGCTTCCTGGGGGATCTCAGTTTGAAGTCCGTAGTGACATATGTCAGGGTTTTGTTTTCTGAGCCTGAATTACACCGAATACTACATTATCTGGATGGCCTACAATCTATCTATTCACCTCCTATAAAACACTTTGTTGCTTTCAATTAGGGACAGATCTGCTATAAACTTCCATGTGTGAGTTTTTGGGGGACATAAGTTTCAACTTATTTGAATAAAATCTAAGGAGTCTGATTGTTGGATTCTATGGTTAAGAGTATTTAGGTTTTTTTAAAATATTTATTTATTTATTTGAAAGTCAGAGTTATACAGAGAGAGGAGAGGCAGAGAGAGAGAAAGAGAGAGAGGTTTTCCATCCGAGGGTTCACTCCCCAGATGGCTGCAACTGCCAGAGCTATGCCCATCCAAAGCCAGGAGCCAGGAGCCTCCCCTGGATCTCCCATGTGGGCGCAGGTGCCCAAAGACCCGGGCCATCCTCCACCGCTCTCCCAGGCCATAGCAGAGAGCTAGACCAGAAGTGGAGCAACCAGGTCTTGAACTGGCGCCCATATGGGATACCGGCGCTTCAGGCCAGGACGTTAACCCGCTGTGCCACAGCGCCGGCCCCAAGAGTATTTAGTTTTGGAGGAGGTGGCCAAAGCTCCTTGCAAAGTACTGTACCATTTTGTATTCCCATCAGCGATAGAATGGGAGGGTTCCTGTTGTTCTAGGTCCTCACCAGCATTTGATACTGTCAGTGGTTGGGATTTTGAATATTTTAACAGGTGTGTACTTGCATTTTATTGCTTTAATTTGTATTTCCTTGATGACATGTGTGCAATTGCAGCATCTTTCCGTATGCTAACTTAACATCTTCCTATCCTTTTTGGTAAGGTTCAGATCTTTTGACAATTTTTAATTGGGTTCATTTTTCTATGGTTTCAAAGCTTCATCAGTGCTAATTCTTAATGCCACCTGACTACAAATGCTGAACTCCTAAAGTTTCAGCTGATTTGTGTTAGCGAGTTGTAAACAACTGATTGATCACTAGGGCTTGAAATTGAAGGATATGGGTTAGCTTGTTAGGACTGACAGTTAGGGAAGTGGCATCTGAGAGCTGAGCCAGAGGAGAGCAACCTGATTGGAGCCTGAAAGGGAGGGACGAGAGATGCAGGAGAAAACCCCGAGGACGTGGGATGACGTCCACTGGTACAAGTTCACAGCACAGGTAAGGGTCAGCAGTGCCTTATGGTTTACCTTGAGCCAGAATTTAATATTTTGGGCTCTTGCCATTTACTTAGACAAGAATTCTAAGCACTGGCCCAAACAAGACACACAACATGGTAAAGTTTAGGATTTATTTGGAAAGTGAAAAAAATACACAGGAACATGGGGACTTTGTTGGGGGAAAGTGGGTCAGAAAGAGTAAATGGGGTGTTCCATTCCAGCCTCTTCCAGGGAGCAGTGCAGAGACTGCAAGCGAGAGGGGCAGTGGGCAGAAGAGTGGGTGGGCGGGCAAGCAGGCAAGAGAAGAGGCAGAATGGGGGCTGGCTCAGCGTGTTCCAGCCTCTTTTCTACTTCCAAAAGGGGAGTGGTTATGTAGTCTGATTGACAGGTGGGTGGATACAGGTGAGATCATACAGGGGACAGGGGGAGTGGACTCCAGCTCAGAAGCCTAATTCTTTTTTTTTTTTTTAAATAAATATAAATTTCCAAAGTACAGCTTTTGGATTACAGTGGCTTTTTCCCCCCATAACTTCCCTCCCACCCGCAACCTTCCCATCTCCCACTCCTTCTCCCATTCCATACACATCAAGATTCATTTTCAATTATCTTTATATACAGAAGATCAATTTAGTATATATTAAGTAAAGATTTCAACAGTTTGCACCCACACAGAAGCACGAAGTGTAAAGTACTATTTGAGTACTAATTATAGCATTAATTTACATTGTACAACACATTAAGGACAGAAATCCTACATGGGGAGTAAGTGCACAGTGACTCCTGTTGTTGACTTAACAATTGACACTCTTGTTTATGGCATCGGTAATCACCCTAGGCTCTTGTCATGAGTTGCCAAGGATATGGAAGCCTTTTGAGTTTGCCAACTCTGATCTTATTTAGACAAGGTCATAGTCAAAGTGGAAGTTCTCTCCTCCCTTCAGAGAAAGGTACCTCCTTTTTTGATGGCCTGTTCTTTCCACTGGAATCTCACTCGCAGAGATCTTTCATTTAGCTGTTTTTGTTTTGTTTTGTTTTGTTTTCAGAGTGTCTTGGCTTTCCATGCCTAAAATACTCTCATGGGCTCTTCAGCCAGATCCGAATGCCTTAAGGGCTGATTCTGAGACCAGAGTGCTGTTTAGGACATCTGCCATTCTATGAGTCTGCTGTGTATCCTGCTTCCCATGTTGGATCATTCTCTCCTTTTTAATTCTTTCAGTGAGTATTAGCAGACACTAGTCTTGTTTATGTGATCCCTTTGACTCTTATTCCTTTCATTATAATCAATTGTGAACTGAAACTGATCACTTTGACTAGTGCGATGGCATTGGTACATGCCACCATGATGGGACTGAATTGGAATCCCCTGGCACGTTTCTAATTCTACCGTTTGGGGCAAGTCCGATTGAGCATGTCCCAAACTGTACATCTCCTCCCTCTCTTATTCCCATTCTTATATTTAACAGAGATCACTTTTCAGTTAAATTTAAACACCTAAGAATAATTGTGTGTTAATTAAAGAGTTCAACCAATAGTATTAAGTAGAACAAAAAAAAAAAATACTAAAAGGGATAAAGTATTAAGTTGTTCCTCGACAGTCAGGACAAGGGCTGATCAAGTCACTGTTTCTCATAGTGTCCATTTCACTTCAACAGGTTTCCTTTTTGGTGCTCGGTTAGTTGTCACCGATCAGGGAGAATATATGATATTTGTCCCTTTGGGACTGGCTTATTTCACTCAGCACAATGTTTTCCAGATTCCGGAGCCTAATTCTATCTCCCTGATAGGTAATATAGCCAAGGAAAGAGAAAGGAGGGACTAGCCAGAGGGAAACACAGCCCCCAGGGTGCTTCTCCACCCTTTTTCAGTACAGAAGGGCATTCTAGAACGCTCTTGGGGAAAGCTGCCAGGGGCTTGTGATGGTTGCCCTTTGACCCAGATCCATCCTTTTTGACTTTCTCTGCCT